CGAATGATATTTCCTTCATGAATAATTTAAGCTCATCCATGTGTTTCGGCAAACTAGTAATGTTTAAGTGGCCAATTTTAAACCCTTTAGTTTTGGATAAGACTTATTAATTTGGAAAGGAATTTTTGGGCTTTTCGAGGTGCAGCGTGCTGGACTATCGGAAATATCTTTGTCGACTATATTATTATCGCTGTGTCTTATGTCATTATTATTGTCGTTACCTAGTCAATTCCTATTAAGAAATTGCTTTATGTTTTTTGCTAAGACTGATGTACCCTGCTTATTTAAGTGCAGTCCGTAGTTATTTAAATGGCTTACGTCAATATTATTGTGCCTGATAAGACACCAATTTCGTTCTATACATAGTTGGGCTAATCCCTTGTTATATTCGTTTACCTTATCAGCCAATGTTTTATCGTCATTTCTTGTTATGATTTCTGATAAAACTAATTCAATATTCCCGTTTTCTCGAGTAATGCTCTCTCCAAGCTTTTGTACATGTGTCAACAATTCATCTGGCGTCATTCCTTGTAGATCATTGGTTCCGACGTGTAAAATAAGCTTATTTGGTGCCTTGAGTAGCGTTGGTTTTACATAGTGATTCATTTTTTTTATTCCCGCACCAGGAAATGTTTTTACAACAATTTTATGCTTCATTCCTTGTTGAATTCGTCTCGCGTTTATTTGTTTAAGCATAGAATCGCCCAAAATAGCAACTCTTGATTGTCCTACGCGCGGAGATCTGCGAGAATCTTGGGCTCGCTCGTTAAAACAATTGTTGTTGTTATTTCGGTCGTTGTCTGCTTGTTGTTTTCTAGGCGCAGAATAGTTACGTCTTTTGTCTTCATTGGACCTGATGATATGCCTGGGTGGTTCAGATTGATTTCTATTCTTAGGTAATCGACTTTGAGATAATATGTTAATCTCGTCGTCACTTTCATCAACTAAAACAGAATATTGATTATCTGTCTTGGCTAGTCCATTGTGACTATTTTCCCCAGAGTTTTGTCCACGTTGTGTGCTTTCATTCTGATTTGGCTTACGATTTTTAACAACATTCCATGACCATGTACTTTGTTTATTTGTATTGCAATCATTTTGTACAATTTTGATTGCTGTTACTAAACTTTTCTGTTCATCTTCTAGTTGTTTAACTTTCGTGTGTAAGGGAAAGTACATTTATTACACCGAGGGAGGGGGATGAAGATGTCTTGAAAAAAGCTCATATTTTTACAGGGCCCCTGTTGAGGTTATTGGTAAATTTCGATGCCCCCCCTCCAAGTTTTTAAAATTTTCAATGCCCCCCCCCTCTAGAATTCGGAATCGAAGGAGTACAATCCGGAATTCTCTCTTATCATAGATACAATTTGCAGTTCCTCAAGATGTCTGATATACTCAAGCATGTGCTTCTCCTCAACAAAACTACCGATCTGCTGCTTTCACCTCACTAGCGCCAGATGAAATGGCACCATCTTTAAAACATTTTAAATTGGCTCTAGGGGTGAAATTATCAACAGGTTGTTGTTGTCCATCATTCAGCGTATTCGGAGTCTTGAACACGTTCATGTAGTGGCCAGGATTTCCTGGATCAGGGTAATGTGCTGGAACCTTACAGTATGTTGCCCCCACCCAACGTATCTCCTGGCATCTGTTGCAAATGTCTTTGCATGCCTGTCAAAAATGCATGCAAAAGTGCCAGTATGCTTCAATTTCTTTAATTTTCATCCCGTTTGTACTAAATATCCCATAAACATAGAACATATCATTCTTACAAATCGTATGCTTTTTTGTTTTTGGAACTGCTACTTTTTGGCAGGTAAATTACTTCACAAACCTGGCGCCAAAAAATTTAAAATAAGCTATAGATGATTTCATGTATCCATTTAGAAGAGCAGACTAAGGATATCTTAAAACTGAAATCGGTTTCGAATACAACCATCAGGGACGTAGCAAAGCATCTGACGTTTGGGGGGTGGGGGATGTCAGAGGATTATACGTGTAATAATTATAATAAAGCTTTTTGTGATTGATTGGCACTCTCACTCTTCCCCAGAAAATTTTTACATTTTTGAAGCTCTAGGACTGAATTTCTGGCGTTTTCTAAAGCAAATTTCGCAAACAAATTGCATGTAAATTGACTGTATTTTACAAAAATGGTTATCATTTCACAAAAATAATTACTTTATTACGCAAATTTTACCTGAAAATGTCAAAATTTTAACTTGAATTTGCTGGGGTCAAAACTTTGAAAAGTTTAGAGCCCCACCCTTCAGTATATCAAGAACTTTCAGAGCCCCCCCTTTAATGCCAGAAAATATTTCGGTGCCCCCCCTTAACATCTTCATCCCCCCCTCGGCATAATAAATGTACTTTCCCTAATTCAGTAGAATAATCTTGACATCTAACATATTATACAGCAACAATATAAATTAATTGTATAACTTTGCTTGATTTATAATTATTGAATATAAACACTAATTCTTACATTTGGTCAACTTGCACAATAGTTGCTTGCAAATTTGTGTTACAGCACAGTCAGCACTAAAGCAGTTTACTGTTTACATAGTTTACATGTTGTAGGCTACATGCACTCAACATATCCCTGAGATATTTCTCGCTAACGAGTAACGTACAGCGTAAAAACACATGGGATTGTAAATTTGAATTAAGTTTGTTCTTTGCTGAAATATCTCAAAATTGTCAGTATATATAGACAAACCGGTTTCAATATATTAAACGTCCATTAAATTATATAACAGTAATAGATCCACAATTTTAAGAGGCAAGAGCATCCATCATCCAGTTGAAATTTCGACATTTACCACTCGATCATCTGCCTTCTAGAGTATTCCCTTTCCCAAAAGTATTAATGTTTGATGTTATATGCACATAATTATGGTAGGCATAGACCAAATATAAATTGAATGGTTGCAAAAATTCTTATAAATTCCATTACATTCCACACTTGTTGCTCGATATACGATTTACACAGTTTCGGCGTGGTTTGACCATCTGGATTTCGTTAAATTCCGGCTATCCGTTGTAAGTGCAAAATAATCAATGTTTCATTCATATTTGTAACAATTTGCAACATAAAAATGATATTCTCGATCGATATTTTTTCGAATTGTGTCTGAATAATTATAAAGAGATCGTATCCTACGGAAGTATTGGGGTAACACAGCTTTTGACATTTTGTAGTAGTTTGATATGAACAAATTAATCCCGTGAGGGTGAGGGTAACATAGGAGGTCCACAAGGGTTACATCGTTACATGGCTGGTCCACTCTGGCTGGTCCAAAGTCTTCGGTTGACAGGCATGGCGGCCATGGCCGCTAAAACTTTTTTTGCCTGCAAGCAAATTTTGCCCGATAATCTAAAGGCGATGCCTGCGGAAGAGGCTAGCTCTGGGCAAGCTTTTTCATTTTAGTGTAAAAATTCAGAAAGAGAAGATATATCTACTTTCAAAAATTAAATGAGCTATAGAATTCATTCCCGAAAATATGGAAAAGCAATTCCTGTTGTGGCAGTGAATATAAGTTTATCCATGCATGCGTAGCCATTAACTAACGACACTATACTCTATACTTCTATAGCTTTGTTGTTACACCAATCAATCATTAATTGACTAATTGTATAAACTATTATTCATTCTTCTTTTTGTCTTTTAAGAACGGTTTAAGTTTCTCCGTATATATAAATCGAGTTTGTAGCAACACAACGAATTCGAAATAACTGGTATAGAGTAAGGCGGCATTAACATTGTTAAATTATTTACCGTCTGATGCTTGTGATGTTACTCTGAGTGTATATCCACACCGGGCAAGCTTGAAAAATATACCTGACCACGGTGGGAATCGAACCTACGACCTTTGGAATACTAGCCCAATGCTCTGCCAACTGAGCTACGCGGTCTGGTCGGTTCGAGTATGCGATATTTCGGAACAGAATCTAGTTTCTTCGATATCAATGTTATTACATTACACCAACACAGAGAAATCATGATTATTATTACATAACATTGATATCGAAGGAACTAGATTCTGTTCCGAAATATCACATACTCGAACCGACCAGACCGCGTAGCTCAGTTGGCAGAGCATTGGGCTAGTATTCCAAAGGTCGTAGGTTCGATTCCCACCGTGGTCAGGCATATTGTCAAGCTTGCCCGGTGTGGATATACACTCAGAGTAACATCACAAGCATCATATTCACCTGAGTACATTACACCAACACAGAGAAATATGGATATTTACCGTCTATTTTGTTATGAAATGTTTTATACTTCAATCGCCCAGCTGTAAAATTATTATAATATTACCACAGTTGATGTTCCGGGCATGAGTCTGAGTCCGGCCAAAACATATATCTATGTCCGTAATCAACCCTTCTAATTATACGATTAGGTTCTGGCTTTCGCAATCATTAAATTTATCAGTTAATGCGGGATTTCCCTATGCAAGAGTATAATAACTATAATCTGATAACATGGCGTGATGTATTTGTACATTTATCAAGTAGTTTTACTTGATTATCAATAGTAGCATAGTTGTAACTAAAGTAGTAAAGAGTAAAGTGAAATACTGGCATGCATGTAGTTTCCCAACATTATGAATATCCCCAATGCCCAATGGCAATATGTCATGTAAAATGTATCCTAAGACAAAAGATTCACGTGTAAGGAGACTAAGGACGATACTACATGCAGTATATATATAACCGAAATTGTAAATACTAGTTAGTTGTGAGTAAGCTTGAAATAATAAAGAATATTGAATATTGTTTTCAATACAATTATAAACAATCCAACCTACAATCCAAAATGCAGTCGACCCAGCCTATGCAAGGAAGAACAATGCCAATGGTAAGAATATCAAGGTTACAAGAGCATATTGTTTAGCAAGACTAAACTGACAACCTAGAAAACATTTACATTATTAATTAGTCATCATGTGGTGTACAGTGAACTAAAGTTATTTTGAACTATTTAGTTTATTTTCTTTCGTTTGTTTAAAACTGACTGAATAGTTGGCCTATATACAAGTTTTCCGTGAAATTTTGGCCTACAAAACTGCATAACGATTTGTCATTCGCACCCTTGTGTATATATATACGAGAGGCTGTAATTTAAATATTTTATCGTTCGTTTTTAACATACCTTATTCCCCTTTCAATGTTGCAATGTTGTAGGTTTATTATAACATCCGTGATATCGATAATCTGTGCTTTAAAATCATTAAGACCCGAATGGCCCTCCTCAAAAAAATGTTCATACAAATGTTGACCAGATAAACCTCTTTGGCCCTTAGAAAATCTATTAAGCGAACTCTTGTGGTTATTAAATCTAAAACGAAATGACGTTACCGTATTGCCCACGTCTTGTTTACTACATTTTCCGCAAGTAATTAAATAAACCACCCTCTGAGAGTTACAATCAAAGTGATGGTTAATGTGAAACGTGCGTCGTTGTACTGTACTTTGAAAAGTATCCGCTACCACGATGGAATCACAAACTTTGCACTTTTTCCCCCCACATTTAACCATCCCTCTAGCTGCAAGCTCAAGCTTATGTAATCTAGCCCGAACAAGATGGTCTTTAAGGTTTTGGATCTCCTAAAACACACCATGCATAGGTGGCTCTGGCATGACACTTAAGAACTTGCTAGATAAGTCTACAATATTTTGCAATTCCCTAAAAATTCCATAAATTTCCCGCAATGCTGGGTTATAATCTATGATAAAGGTACTCTTATTATTTTCTCTTCTACTTTGCTCACTTCCCCGTTTAAATAATGCCGACCAATCCAAAAACCTTACTCTCTTAAACTGACTCTCTACAAATTCGCTATTATAGCCCCTTTTAACCAGAAACCCTTTCAATTCCTGAAGCCTCAAAAACCTTATCTGAATGGCAAATCCGCTTTAGACGCAATGCCTGTCCATA